AGAAAGAGGGTAGAAGCCAGAAGCTTCGTTTCCTATTTCCTGCTTCCTGTTTCTTTCATTTAAAGCTCTTAAATGGAAACATGGCCTGAGGCCATGCTAGTATTTGTCTTGAAAACAGTTTAATAGTTAAAACTAATTCAGGTAAACAGAAAGCAAAATGAAAAGGTTAACTCTAAAAAACATGTTAAAAGGGGGGAAACCAAAGGAACAATGGTATATACATGCTTGAAACGAACGAAAAGATTATTTACATGTTGTGCCATGAAATGAAAGGTTCAAGGGTAAGAGTGACTTACCTTGATGGAGGCTTTGAATGGGTGTGGGACCTTGAGTGGAGGCCCAAGGTTCTGGATTTGAAAGAGGGGACCAACAGCTATGCTTGGAATGCTGGATTCGAAGGAAGGAAAAAAACAAGTGTGACGCTTCTTTCCAAACTGGATTCAAAGGATACTGAAGAGTACTTGTTCTTCAGAATTGAAGGAAGTAAGTATGTGATTCTGGGTTTGTTCTCACCAGTGTTGAAGGGACTTGAGAGATTTGTTGTGTTTGAGAAAATTTGGGTGATTCGTTCCTCTGGTCAAAAGATCCTCCTTAAACATGTGTTGGAGCCTCTTATTTATAGGCAAAGTTGGCTGAAGCTTTTGGAGGGAAAACAAAATAATTTGAACAATTTGAGTAAACTGCTCTTTGTAGCCTTTGAGGGACAGTGCTTGTATGCTATTTCGGTGCAAGAATGGGGCAGTGTTTCAAGACTGTTGTGTAGCAGTTTTGGCTAGTGTATCATGCCTGAACTTGGCAGCAAGCATCTTTGAATATTTCATCCTTTCATTTTGACCCTCCTTCGACCAGATTATTCTTCCAACATATTGTTTGACTTTCTTCCCACAAGTGTCCTTCGAACGAATCACCTTTGTGCATCGTTTGAAGGGGCCAAATGTGTCTTAAGGTGGGGCTTTGTAAATCCTTCGAATGGGCCCTCAAGCATGTCCTTCGAATGGGATTCCGAGATGTGTCCCTTGAATGGATCATGTATGCTTCCTTGAAAAGGGCCAAATGTGTCCTTCGAATGGACTAGTCAGGCGTACCCTTCGACAGGGACTCATATGTATGCTCCTCAAGTCCACCACTATACGTCTTTTGAAGGGGCCATCAACCATGTGCTGAAGTTTGTCAAGGATGGAAATGCAGCACACTAAAGAGAAATGTTGTCCAGTCGAAGCTAGTACAAACATAGTCAATGTCTTGTCGAAGCCTTGTGCATGCTAGCAAGGGGGATGCCTTTTGCATGCAAGTTGTGGCTCAAATGAAATTTGTGAGAGGAAAAGTCTGCAAGAGGCCCTTTGTGCAAGTGGATTCGAAGGAGGTTTCAAATCCAAACGAAGGATGCACCCAAGTTGAATTTGAAGGAGGTTTCAAATCCAAACGAAGGATGCACCTAAACTTGCATTCGAAGGAGGCTTAGAGTCAGTCGAAGGGTGCTGGATTGAAGGAGGTTTCAAATCCAAACGAAGGATGTACCCAAGTTGCATTCGAAGGAGGTTTCAAATCCAAACGAAGGATGCACCTAAACTTGCATTCGAAGGAGGCTTAGAGTCAGTCGAAGGGTGCTGGATCGAAGGAGACCTATTTTCCTCCAAATTTGTCAAAATGTTATTTTTATCTGTTTTCTCCCTTTTTGACAGTTTCCTTTTAATTTTGGTTTTGGAAAATTCCAAAGTACTTGTGCAAGCTTGAACCTTGAGAATCCTTGTGAGAAAGGCCTTGAAGAATGAGAGGGCAAATTTTGGGGTACAACACATATGAATCATGTTGGCATGTTAACAACGATTAAAATAAAGCTAAATCTACAAAATTAAAACTCACTACCTTACAAACCAAAGTTCACGCAAGGAAGGGTTCTGGGATTGCTTCGCGATGGATAAGAGTATGTACCAACTCCTAGAAGCTTTAGGAAGATGATATGAAGCTCAAAGTTGCTTGAGAATGACTGAAGAATAGGGTTTGTCTTTGCCCTAATTCTTGAAATTTTGAGAATTTTTAGGAGTGTGTTTGAGGTAGTCTTTTTTTGCCCCTTTGCATTTGATGTTGTAGGTATATATAGGACATGAGGTTAGGTCAATAAGAATTGAAGAAAATCTTGCATTAAGGGGTGAGGATTTGATTTGGAAATTGGCATAGAAATTTGATATTTTTGGCTTATTCTTGCACCAATCACTTTTGCACGAATTTTTTAGCTTGTATAGGCAATCTTGGGCTTCCAACATGACTGAAATTAAAAGCCTTATGCTTTCGTCCATTAATTTTATATTTATTTAATTTATTTTGATTTTAATTGAATAAAAATAAAAAATAAAAAAAATAAAAAAAGGCAATTCATGAATAGTCTTATGGATCTTTGAACATGTCATGAACACACTTGGATATGAAGACTTAGACCCATCAGCTCAAAATTACAAATTTGTTCAATTTGGAGTTCATGCATCTTATCAAAATTTCCTACCTTGCAATAGTTATAACTCAACCAATTTTTATCTTTTAAAGATGATCTTGGACTTTTGGAAAGCTCAAGATGTCCTTTACAACCTCTATGTTGATCATTTTTTCTTTTAAAGACATTATCTTGATGTAAGTTGCCTTGACAAAAAGGGTCTTTTTATTGACTTTTGAAATGATCTATAATATATTGGCTTATATCTCTCAAATAATGCATTTTTTGAACTTGATCTTAGAGAGACAAAGTTATAGAAAATTTAATTCCCTTCAAAATGGGCTCTAGTTGGAGAGAAACTGATGAAACATGTGTAAGTTATGCTTGGTCAAAGTTCAATTTACTTCTTCTAAGGACACCCTAATTTAACAACTTTTGACTTTTGATGACTGAGGGCTTTTCTTGAGGAATCATTATCAATTCTTGATCAAATGATGAATATAACTTCAAAATGTTGATGTTGACCAAAAATCTTAAAATTTGACTGTATGTTGACCACAATTGACTTTTTACTCAATACAGTTGATTTTCAGTCATCTGAGTCATTGACTGAGCAAACTTATGATGCAAGACTTGAAACTTGGTATGAGCATTGTTGAAGACACATAAAGAACCATGAAAACCAATTGAGGCCTTGGAAACCAAATCTTCCTTGAAAAATACCAAACCTTAGTTATGGACCCATTGCTTAGGAGGAGAATTTGTCTGATCAATTCTTAAGCAACCTTGAGCAAATGAGAACCTTATGAGAATGTCTTGAAGAAATGGGACGGAAAATTTTGGGGTACAACAATATATTATAGTGTGATATTTTCCATGAATGAAACACTTATCAATTACTTAGCTATACAGACAATGTTTGGTTAGGTTCTGTAGATGAAGAGAACCTCTGGCTATGCTTTTTCATTAGGATAAAAAAATTTCCCTTGGGCATCGAAATCGAAGAAGTAAACTACGAATGCACAATACACATAAGAAGCAGAGTATGTGGCAGTTGTTGAAGCAACAGATCAAACTTTATGGTTTCATAGAATACTTGAAGACATGGAAGGAAAACAAGACGAACTTAATAAAACAACTAATCAGCAATTGCAACGGTAAAAAATCGTGTGCATCACATGAGAACAAAGCACATAACAATCAAGTATCACTTTATTTGAGATACTGACGCAACTAAAGAGATCAAATTTGACTACTACGAAACATAAAATCAAATTGTAAACATATTCATGAAGGCGTTAACGAGTCCAAGATTTGAAGAGCTATACACTAAGCTTGAAATCCCAAAAATTTGCATTAAAGAGGAGTGTTGAAATTACTACAAAATTTCCAAAATATTTTTAAATATAATGTGTATGAAAATAGTAAAAGAACCTAAAATTATAATGTGCATGGTAAAAAAACCTAGAACTATAAATATAAGAAAATGATATAAAAACTTACAATATTCATGATACTAATTTATTATGAAACATCTAGAAAGAACTAAAATAATATATAAAAATATTCATTAATATTGAAAAGTTGGTGACTTGAACCAATAAATAAATATTTGATATCTTATAATTGATCATCCAAAAAATCAATTCTATTTAACTATCTTTTATCAAAATTCTCTTAAACTATCTTTTTATCAAAAATCAAGTATGCAACTATCAACATATATATCACTTCTGACTTTAATAACTTTAATCATTATTCACATAGGTATTCATTAACAACTAATGAAGAGGCCATGTCCAAAGGACTCAATGCTTTAAAAGAAAATGAGACTTGACTACAAAAAGGAACGAAGAAAATGAGACTTGACATTGTCGAAAAGAAAAAAAAGGAAAGAAAATGAGACTTGACTACGTTGTTGAAAGGAAGAAAGGAAAGGTTGTAGGACGTAAATGAGTGTACAAAATCAAGTTCAAAGCCACATAAGAGATTTCACAGAAGTAAAAGGTTATAGCGAAACTTTTGCACCAGTTGCAAAAATGACAATTATCCATTGTTGCAGTAGCAATATGCTAGAAACTATCAGACAGATAGTTTGTATATTTGAAGAAGTCTTTAAAATAAAGTTTGATGGGATAGATTTTCAATGCGTACTCAAGTAAGACTAGTAAGAAGACTTATTTTTTCTAACCATTCCTCAACGCGAAACAACTTATTCGCTCTCCAAATACTATGTCAGGTCTTGCAGAAACTTTTATAAGCTCATTAGAAGGCTGTTACCCGGTTCACTGTGCAAAACTTTTATAAGCTCTTTAGAAGACATCCATGTGAATTCTTCTTTATTTGAAAGTCTAATTTTTAGTCTCCATGTAAATAACACAACATATATACATTACTCATTCATATAAACATTATATATCTTTTACATGACATGATAAAAAACATTCACACAACAAATAAAAAAACATTACAAATGAAGCAAATCACTAAAACAAAAAATTTAAAATTCACCAAATACACATTTATTATTAATTACATGCATATATCCATAGATATTAACCATGATCATGATCTAGTGTCCACTGCCAGGAAGCTTCTCCTTAATCTTTTCCATAATCCCTTTCTTCTCTCCATGTTTAACACGATGCTCTTCTCTGACATACTCTTCTTCACCAGTGCTTCCAATGCCACGACGCTCCTCTCTCACATACTCTTGACGAGTGTTTCCAATGCCACCCCCACTAGCACCATGTAGCTTATCTCCAGGATGAACATGATGCTCCTCTCTCACATACTCTTGACCAGTATTTCCAATGCCACCTCCACTAGCTCCATGTTTCTGATCTCCATGATGAACTTGATGCCCCTCTCTCACATATTCTTGACCAGTGCCTCCAATGCCACCACCACTAGCACCATGTAGCTTATCTCCACTATTAACACGACGCTCCTCTCTCACATATTCTTGACTTCCAATGCCACCACCACTAGCACCATGTTGCTGATCCCCATGATGAACATGATGCTCCTCTCGCACATACTCTTGACGAGTGTTTCCCACGCCACCACCACTAGCTCCATATCCAGTTGTTCCATACCCAGTTCCTGTTCCTGCTCCTGCTCCATACCCTATTCCTGTTCCACCAATATTGGTTCTTGATTGTTCAGTGCCAGGTATCTTCTCCTTAATCTTATCCATAACCCCTTTCTTATCTCCATGTTGCACATAATGCTCCTCTCTCACATACTCAGTGGTTCCTGTTCCACCGTACCCCGTTCCTGTCCCATAGCCACTTCCGACGTTGGTGCTTCCATAACCACCCACACCACCTGTGTGGGTCCCATACCCTGTAGTTTGATCAACTACATGATGTTGTTGACCATGACCATGACCGGTTGCACCAGTAGTTCCAAAATGTTGTCTACCGGCTTCACCGGTTAACCCACCACCACTAATAGGGTTGCCATATTGATCAACTTGGTTCACTGGGTTTCCATATTCATCGGTCTTACGTGTTTGAGTACCGTATTGGTTTTGATACTGAGACATTGTTACTGCTATTCTTCACAAACAAACTAAAGATGTAATGTTTTTGGTTTTAAAGGTTGTTTTTGTAATGCAAGACTAAGAAGATGTTATAATGTGGTTTGATTTGTGATTGATGAAATGATACTATGATGTTTTTATAGGAAAATAGAAGCATTGGACTTGAAACAAAAATTTAGGACTGTGTTGGTGATTATGGTTTATGAGTTTCAATGTCTGACACGTGCTTACGTTGATTTGCCACGTGCAGGGACACGTGTTCGATGTGTTTATGGAAAACCGAATGTGATTTTGTTGTTTTGTGATTCATGAGATGACACGTGGGATGTGCGTGAGGATGTGTGGAGAGTAAGCTTGCAAAAATTTGGGAAAAAAGAATTTTCAGAAGAAGATGAAGTGCATGTGTTGTCTACGGATATACAATTATTCCCATAACTGAAAGAGAGTAAAGAAATTTCAAAATTCTCTTAAGTCACTTTAGTCAATATAAAGTCACTTAAATACATGACTCAATATTAAATCACTTAAATACTGATAATATATAAGGGACTTAAGTAACCAACTTAGTGTAATAACCTAAACGTTTAGCTAAAAACTTAATTAGAAAGGACGAATTAATACTAAGGTGCCAATTTTGTTATCCATCTAAAAAACCTTAGGTTATAACTTTATTCACATGAAGTGTCTTAGTCTTAATTAGATTATTTTAATTATATCTATTTTGACGAAATTATTTTAAATATAAAGTTTAAAGATAGTGCACACTCAATAAATCAATATTACATATATAGTTAATTAAAAAAATTTATAATTGTTATATCATATTATTATTTTAAAAATAAAAATGTTTTAATTTTATATATGTATTATATTGATTGTTCGTATAAAAATATTTTATAATATCAATATATATTTTATAAAAATATTTTATGATTAAATTTCATTATTTTAAATATAATGTTTAAAGATAGTGCGAGTGGTCATTAATATTACACATATAATAAATTAAAATTTTTATAATTGTCATATCATCATATCAATATTTTAAAAATAAAAATATATTTTAATTGTGTTTCTGAAATAGGCTGGCACATAACGCACTGTTGGGGAGGCTCAATCCAGCGCCTCTATAAAGGTCCAAAAGTATGCAGTCTAATCTAGTGACCGTTGGGCATTTACTCCACGTGTCCACTAAGGGAACGTGCCTCACATGTGTCAACCGTCATTATCCCGTCCATCGAGAATAATTGATCTAACTTCCCTATCTTTTCGGAACAGTTGACCAGGGATGAGGTAATATGTTGGACTTCATCACACGTAACCCTGGCAGTCTTCATTATTGGACCTCATCGTAGTCCAATAGTGTGGATCTTGACCCAGCGCTGGGGGCTATAAATAACCTCTCACTCGAGAGAGTTAGGTATTCACTCATTCATACTCTCATTACTTACACTTTGCTTTGAACCTTACTTTGGCATCAGAGTGTCTTGCAGGTACCCCCTCCCACTTCACTTTCCACCTCCATTCAACACAAGCCCGTGGGTCATTCCTTCTGGTCAGGTACGATCAGTGGCGCCGTCTGTGGAAATACTGCTTCCCCGTCTTTCTCTAACTCAAGACCAAAACAAACTCTTTCAGTTTTCTGATCGTCATGGCCGACCAATTCAACAACGGAGATCAAAATGTTCATTTCACCGACGCTGGCAACAATAAAGATGTCGGTGGTCATGAGCTCGACATCAGGGATGGGTTGACTGCATCCTCCTCCACCTGCTACAACCGCGCGACAATATAGACCCTCCTAGGCAAAACTACGAGCCTGTTGTGTATCAAGAGATCCTCATTTTTATGAATGTTGATTCTACGACCAAAGCCTTGTTCGCAGTGATCAACTAAACAAACTACATGATCTTCGCGCAGGGTGAATGCATGGGGATACTGGAACAGACTCGTCGGTCCCCCAAAAAACACCAAAGATCTAATTCCCAAACTCTGTCTCCCCGATGACATGAGGACCGCTCCTGATCTCCCCCGCAGAGACACAGACGAGACGATTCTCGAAGCCCCTCTCGTTGTCGCACTGAGCAAGGGCTTGCATTTGAGAGAACCCAATCCGAAACCATCAAAAATTGCGGTCAGACTCCCATGCGCAAGGAACGATGATCCCCTGAACATAAAAGGAACATGGGCAACGAAGAAAAGAAGACTCGGCAGAGAAATCCTCCCCGACACAAAGACCGCCGCTACAATTGTTCCCCCTCTCGCTCCCCAAAACGAAGCGACGAAGACAACCCCGACAGTCCATTGTCCCAGGCCATCATGGACGCCTATATTCCTAAGGAGATGGAGAAACCTCCCCCTCTGAAGGAGTATGATGGCTTTACAGACCCCGTCAACCACCTCGACGACTTTGAGGTGATGCTTCATTATCACAACATCAGGGGTCCCATCAAGTGCAGGTTGTTCCCCACAACACTGAGGAAAACGGCCATGGACTGGTATAAAAGCCTCCACCGGGTCGATCACCTCGTGGAGGAGTATGAAGAGCCAATTCGCCAGCAGCTTCACAATATCTCATTGACACTCTAAAATTGAGGCCGCCCTTGAGGCAATCATCCATAGGAGCAACGAGACTCTCAGTGAGTACATTGATCAGTTCAACTGCGAGGCTATTCAGGTCCCATGCATCGATCATATGAAGAGGTACTTGCTCGAGAGGGGACGCCTCCCGGGCATTGAGTTTAGAAAGGCAGTCAACATCGAGCCTCCCAGGTCATTTGATGCCCTCCTCGATAAAGTCAAGGCCTACATGACCTATGAGGAAAAGGAGGCCGCCAACAATGCTCGCAATTCAAGGAATCATAGACCAACCGATATCCCGCGACACAATGACGTCGTCCCTTCTCAATGAATAGGGAATAAGAGAAGGGAAGATAAGCCTCACGACTCCTGCAAGCATAGAGGACCAGTTGGGTGATTCACCGAATACACCCTGCTAACTGCTTCCCGCGAGTGTATTCTTGCAGAGTGCGCCAATGCAGAATTCAAGGACGGTAGGGTCAGGCGCCCTCGACCAACTCCTGCTAAGCTCGGAGTAACCAAGATAAAATACTGTCATAACTACCGGAGCCACAATCACCTGACCGAAGACTGCGTCCACTTGAAGGATGCTATCGAGACTCTCCACTCGGGCAGTACAAGAGGAACGACATCCCTCGTCGGGATACTCACAAGGTGAAAGAAATTGAAGAGGTTGCTCGACCATTCAATGAATCTGGCCCCTTCCAGTTCGCCTTCCGCGTCTCTAGGCCCGAGGAATTCGGCATTCCCGACGTCCTCGAAGACGAGGAGCCCTTGTTCACCCACAGCTGATGGGAGAAGTTCCCCTCCCCCATGGTCATATCTGGCGAGGGATTCAGTGTCGTCTCGGTAAATTCAGTAAAGAGAAAATTCAGCGAGCTGATAGATGCAGCCCCGATCCAGACTGTAACCCTTGAAAAGTTCCAGAGAAAATATGATCCAATCACTTTTTATCTTGAGGAGCTGCCCGACGAAGCCCCAAAATCTAGCATATATTTGCTCGTGAGGGCGAGGATGGCCAAATTTGACGTACAACGCATCCTGGTCGACGAGGGGAGTTCCGTCGATGTCATGTACACCTATCTATTCTGCACCATGCAGCTCGACAGTTCTCACATGTCACCATACATGGGGTCTGACCTACAAAGGTTCAACGGTTAGACCTCCAAGCCATGGGGTTATGTCAAGTTGTTTGTCACGTTCAGGGAAGAAACCACATCCCAACAGGTCAAAGTGCATTTTCTGGTAATCGAATGCCCCTCTCTCTACAACTGCATCCTGGGGAGACCACAATTGGCCGAGCTGACCACCGTACCCTCCATGGTGCATTTGAAGATGAAGTTATACACCAAGAGGGCCCGCGTCACCACCATCCATGGAGACATCGCAGCTTCCAAGAGATGTTCCAATGCGGCCTCCAAAGGACAGAACATGGACGACACTGGGGTACGGCCTGCCAACAGAACGGCCTCCTCGACAACAACGGCTCCCTCGATGGACAAACCTTCTAAAGTTGAAGAACAACAAGCTCCATTAAAGGTCGACTCCATTGACCTCGACACCCGCTTTTCCAAAGATGAAGTCGAGGCCCCCAATGGCGAACAAGATCCTCTCCAACCCGTCCCCGACAGATACTTTGAGTTCATCCCCCCTGGCGAAGACACAAGTAAAGGTGTAAAGATCGGTGCTAGACTCCCCGACCTGCTGAGGAAGCAACTTAAAGCCTGTCTGAGGGAAAACACTTATTTGTTTGCATGGAGCGCTGCGGAGATGCATGGACTCGACCCTGAGGTTGTCTGTCACCAACTTGTTATGGATCCAGCCGCTAGGGCAGTAGTACAATGTAGGTGTAGGCAGTTTCCAGAAAAAGTAGAGGCTACTGAAAAAGCTATAAAAGACCTCATAGAAGCAAATTTTATTTCTGAGGCTCGGTATTCAACCTGGCTCCAATGTTGTACTTGTTAAAAAAATAATGGAAAATGGCGTATGTGTGTTGACTATACTGATCTCAACCAGGAATGTCCCAAAGATGCATTTCCTTTACCTAACATTGACATGTTGGTCGACAACTCGGCTGACTACAAAATTTTATCGTTTCTGGAGGTGTATTCAGGATATAACCAAATCCCCATGGCGATGAGCGACAAACATTGCACTGCCCTCATGACCGGGTCGGGAAATTACCACTATAACATAATGCTCTTCGGCCTAAAAAACACAGGCGCAACATACCAACGGATGATGAACAAAGTCTTCCGCGGTGAGATCAGGGACATGCTCGAGGTATACATGGATGACATGATCATCAAGTCTCGAGCGGAAATCGACCATACTGCCCACCTCAAAATAGTTTTCGACCAAGCATGGCGGTGCAGGATGAGGTTCAACCCGGAGAAATGCACCTTCGAGGTCAAGGCGGGAAA